GAAAGACGGAAAGAAAACCATTGGTTGTACTACTGATATTGTTTGGGGGAAGAAAATTTGACCTGCAGAAAATACTTGGTCTCCCTAAATAATTGCTCCACGTCTTGAAATGGTTGGACTGTCCAATAAATGGTTTGGATCTAGAGAATGGGCACATGGGTAGCACCTCTGCTTTCCTTACTCATCTGGTGTGGGTCTGATTTCCATGAGATAACAAAGATGCTAGTGCAAGCTGTTTATTTGGGTGGTCAAGGGGAGCCAGGAAAGAGAAGAGAGCCAGTAATGTGGTGATAAACCAACCACCCGATGGGAGATTGTGTCTTAATCCCACAGGGAAAGCTAGGAAACGATGTAACACATATGCTTCATTATTCTCCCTCCCAATAGGCAGGAGAGCTAGAGTATTTAGTGGCTGGGAAATTCGCCTAGGAAGTATTAACTCCCAGGCTTCCATGTGAATACACAAAACGGAGGAAACTTCTGTGGTTTAGACAGAAATCCCCCAGGCTCAGAGATGGAGTTATTGGCAGCTGGAGCTTAACCAGAAGACACTGATACGAAGCGGGATGGGTTGGGGACGTGGCTGTTGTCTGCTCTAAACCTTGCAAAATGTTCAGAGAGGTTGGTCGCCAGATTTGCCTCTAGAATAAATGCCGTGGGCTCTAAGCCTGACCCAGTGCATCTGTGTGGAGGAGAGAAAGCAGAGGAACCTAAGCACTTCTTGGAAACAGGCAGATCACAAGGACAAGGGGAGAAGACAGGCTGGACCATGAGAGCCCCTGAGCCATTTCTCCATCCTTGAGGAGTTGGGAGGGACAGAGAGGAGGACCGAGGTACCTTTTCCAGAGTGTTCGCTCCAGGACAGAGGCCCCGACATTTTATGTGTCATGTGTCAATGTAGGAACGTGGGAGAAGAAGAACAGGAAACTGAATAGTAGGACAGGTATGAGAAATTTAGAATTATTTATTCCCTAAACAGCAAATCACTGGCATTGGCAATAGAGAAGGAATAAATGTATAAGCAACAAAAGGCTCTATGTTTTTGAAAGGTTTGCGAGGTAGCCAGAGAGGTCCTTGTATATATGTTCATTTTCTATGTGTGGTTCTTTTATGATTAACTCTTTCAACCACTTTCCTCTCTGCTAGTCAACTCCTTCGGCATGCAAAGCTTTAGTATCATGGTAATGAGCTCTCAACTGCCCTGTGAGCAATGACCAACAAATTCTCATAAAATTCCAGTGGCTCTGCTGTGATCTGAATGCTTGTGCTCCCTCCAATGCTCTTGTTGAGACAGAACACCCAATTTGATAGTGTACGGAGGTGAGTCCTTTAGAAGATAATTAGACGAGGAGGGTTTAGCCCCTATGAATGGAATTAGTACCCAGATAAAGGAGGCCCAGCAGTGTTCTTTGTCTCCTCCTTTCTCTGAGGGCACAGCTAGGTGGCACTGTCCCTGAGAAGATAAGGCCTTATGAGATCCTGAATCATCTGGTACCTCGATCCTGGACTTTTCAGCCTCCAGAACTGAGACAAATAAGTTTCTGGTGTTTATAAGTTTCCCAGTTTATGGTGTTTTGTTACACTAGTGCACACGGACCAAGACAGGCTCACAGGAGAGAAAAGTTCTTTTTATGTCTTCTAACAAGGCAGAGGCAAGCAGGCAGACTGGGATAGGCGGGAGGCTCTGTCCAAGGTCCTGGGCTTTTTCTTTCTTGGATGACTCTGTCCTTGCTGCCTTAGCTACTCAGGCCCTGACTTTCCAGCTCCCAGGAAGAAAGGAAGAGAGGCTGAAGGCAAGCCACTTCTGAAGAATGTGAGGAGGAAATGGAGCTTGTCACTCTGCTTGCCTCTCACTGGTTAGAATGTGATCACATGACCATGCTGAACTATGCTGGAGGCTGGGAACTGTTTTCTACCTGTGCTTTTTTCAAAACTGGAATGGGAGTAGGATTTGATTACTCAAGAGAAGAGTGAAACAGAAGAACAACAATTGGAAACAAATAAAAAAATTATTTATTTATTTATTTTTGTTTTTTTGAGACAGGGTCTCACTATGTAGTTGAGACTGACCTGTAACTCACTATCTAGCCCAGGCTGGTCTCGAACTCACACTGATCCTCCTGCCTCAGCCTCCCAAGTGCTGGGATTATAAGCCTGCACCACCATGCTTGGTCTAGATTAATTTTACATTGATTGTAAGGATTAGGTTTATTTTAGCTGTCTGAAAACAAAAACCTTGCAGATATTTTTTAACCAATGCATCCTACCAAGGCAGATTTGATTTTCAGTTCTTAGCTGTCTTTGTAAATGGTGCTGAGGATTGTAGTTATGGTCTTGTCCATTTGAGGAAAATGCTCTCTCACTGAGCTACCTCTCTAGCCCATTTCTTTCTTTTGGTGAAGTTTTCCTTACCTTGTTTTTATTTATATGCATTTAAAAACTTGCATATCTTTTATATTAGTCTTCACTCATCATATGGTATTGATTTGACTATAGCATGGCAAAGGGTAAATAAACACTTTTAATATCTTCCAAAAATAAATAATGGTCTGGAACTCAAGTGGACGCAAGAAGCATCTCTGAGAGGCGATCTGAGGTAGAGAGGAGCCCCCGCCCCTCCCTCCTGGCTGAACTCTTGGACCATTTTTGGTCTTTGACACTGGAAAACTGGCTCAGTTTTACCACTTGGCATCTGACATGGAGTCTTGTACAGTTACTGATGGAATAGATACTCAATACATTTTAGCTGAATGATTAAAATAGGCTACTCAGAGTCCATCAGGAATGGCAAGACCTTTGGATGAAAAACAACCTAAGTTGGTTTTAGTCATCTTTTCTGGGGGAAATAATTTGTTTTTGTTGTTGGTTTATTAACAGGAACAACAGACAATATAATGTAAATAACAAAGTGCCAGGGATTATACAAAAGAAATGTAGAAATATCAAAGTTTCAAGTATTGTTTTTGAAAAAGGGTTCTTTTAAACAGCATAAAATATGAGGAGCAACTGCCACAGGCCTAGCGTTATAGGCCCTCAAAAGTAATAGTCACAGTTAATTATCTTTTGTCTTAGATCACAGGACAAAGAACAAGTTTTCCACAAATAGGGAGCAAAGTAAGCTATAGCTTTTGGGCAGCCATTAGTTTAAGAGGGATCGAATTCACTTTCACATTGTATAGAGGGGAAATTCAAGAAGAGACTGCTTGAGAAGCACACTGTCCACATCTGGCACATAGAAGATTCAATAATCCCAGCGCCTCTCCTCATATTTTACTCTATTTGTGAAATATTCCAGGGAACTCAGCAAGTATTTTAAAGAAGCAAAGAGACTCATGAATTCAGAAGACCTTGGAGGTGAATATTTTTTATTTTACCATTTCTCTGACATTTGCCTGGTGGTAATACAGTGGGATATTCTGGAACCTCTCAGCAGATCGCAGAATGTTATACAGGCAACATACACTGTTTCTGGTTGATATCAAAATTTATTTTCTAATTATTTGGCAATGCTATCTCAGTTTTCTCTTTTTGAAAAAGAATTCTATTTTTCGTTTTCCAGTTTGCTTCTGTATGGGGTTCATCTGGCATTAATTTCATATAGTCTCTCTCTCTGTCCTTCCCAAACATTTTCAGACTGCAATTAATCTTAGTAATCTCGTTAAGCTACACGATGTGATGCTTTTGACACAAAACATCCATCACTAGTTAGCTTTCCAATTTCTTAACTTTCATAAAATTTACTTGTCTTAAATTCTTTTTTTTATCTTGACCTAAAATTGAATGAAAAGATGAAGAGAGATGATGAAGTTTTAGCTTTTGGAAATCGCTCTTAGCTATGGGAGCACTTTGGTAGTGGGAAAGTTTTTACTACATTTTTTTGATAACAGATAACCAAGAAATTAGTTTTTTTTTTAAAGAAAGTCAGTCTCTTCAGTCAATTCCCAAGTCCATAAATACACACCCCTATTATTTATAAGATAGTTTGATACACCATACTGTAGAGGCAGTGATTTTAATTTTTAATTAACCTGGAGCTTCTAATGCATATTTTACAATTAAAGTTTTTATATTCATTTTCCTGTTAAAATGGAAGCTGGCAGAACCTTAATTCATTTACATAAAGAAAGAATGATCAGTTTGATCTTCTGATGGCAGCTCACAAATATGACAAAATGCTAAATTTATTAATTTTGAGTAGTAGGAACACTGGAGTTAGATACATTATTCATTGTCATAGTTTGTAGTACTTTGTGTGTTCAAGTTTTTCCTCAGTAAAATAAACAGCTATACCCCAATTTCTTTGATTTTTTTAGATGAGTAAAGAGTAGAGCTCTATCTTGATGTGAAGAAGAGAATGTACCTATTTTGCTGTGAGCAAAACATGAGTGTGAGTGATGTGAGAACTAAGGAGGGTGAGCTAGGATTAATTCAGGTGCAGAAACCAGCAGGAATCAGGATGCGACTTAATCGGGGCGATTTCTGTACAAAAGAACTCTCAAGATAATGGGTCACCTGCCCAGCACAGTATCCCTTTTGTCAGGTGCCCGTGCCCCTCCCTGCAGAAGTAGTCTGCCATCCAGATTGTCGTGCTGTCATTTCAACAAGCTGTTTGTAAAAGCACAAACTTGTCAGCTACATAGTTTATAGTTTTCTAACAACACCTTCTGTAGGATTCAGAGAATAAGACGACTTAAGGGGAGAAGCCCGCGTTTTCCTTCGTGTCTGAGTCGCTCTGCTGCTCTGAGAATGGTAAGGTGGCACTGGATCTGGTTGTGTGGAGTGGTACCCAACTCTGGGTTCTTCCCCCCCCCCAGTTGTATTTTCCAAGGTTTCCTCATGGTAATTGTTAATTTTCCACGGAAGTGTGTTAGATTGGCGCTGAGAGCAAGCAGCAGCAGGCCGGATGGGGCTGGCGGAGCGTGTAGAGGGT